GGTAGCTCCCCCCCGCTGGCAGCGCCTTTTTCCCTCCCGCGGTAGCTACACCTTTCTGGCAGTGCCTGTTTCCCTCCCACGGTAGCTACATCCCTCTGCAGCGCCTATTTCCCTCCCACGGTAGCTACACCCCTCTCGCAGCGCCTGTTTCCCTCCCATGGTAGCTACACCCCTCTGCAGCGCCTGTTTCCCTCATGTGGTAGCTATACCCTTCTGGCAGCGCCCTCCAGAGACAGCGCCTGCGTGTGCTGCTTAGGGCAAAGGGGGGCCGGGGTTGGTCCCACCTTCCCCAGAAAACAGGAACCACTCCCCCAGCCCAGCCTGCCCAGCTCTCCCGGCCACCACTCCTGTCGCCGGTCTCCTAGCCTGGAAAAAGAGAGCTAGGGCCGCTCGCTGGCCCAGCACCTGGTGGCATCTCGCCGGGATAGGGGGGTAAACAGGAGGAGCTGGGCTCTCGCTGGCGGAGTTCCCTAGCTGATGGCTTAAGCCAGGCCTTACAGGGGCACTGCCATTTGCTAGCCAGCAGCCCCGCAGGCATCGCCGCGGCACAGACAGCAACCGACGCCCAGGACTCTGCCTGCCCGCGTTTCCTGTCTCTGACAGCCACCAAAGTCAGAGGCCTCCAAGGGAAATAAAAAAAAAATCCTCCATAATCGCTCTCATATAATTGCTCGCTCCTGTGTTATTGGGAAGACGAGGGGGAATTCCATCCAGATCAGCCCCGTGGCACAGGGGTTGAGATTTCGCATCGTGTTCATCCTTGCCAGGGCAGGAGTCTTCCTCTTCAGAAATGGTCTGAAAGAAATGTCATGTGGCAGTGAGTTCCGCAGGGCAATTCACTAACGCAAAACAGAGTGCTGGAGTCAGGGTTGCTGAGCAGGACATGATTGGCTGGGTCTCATCCTATGCCACATTTTCGCTCCTCCCAAACCCACGGCTCAGTTTGGGGGTATTATTTATTCATGGTTGTCCTACCTGAGCCAGGCCCCACTGTGCTGAGTGTGGTAGAAACACAAAAATAACAGGTCCGGCGAATTCCCCCTCAGAGGAGAGATAACAAGAGGATATAACAGTCGGGGGTGGGTGGGGGGACACTGC